ACATTAAGATCTTGTGCATGGATGGATACCACTGGGTGGAAGTGTAAAATACGCTTTTTGGGGTAAATTGACCCTTTTAAGGGTGATGCTTTACAGACCCATTGCCTGTACATTGATTTTTGACTTCTTTATCCCTGATTTTCCTCTTGGGGGCACCTCACCAGGATTACATGTCAAAGTCAATTTACTAGTTGTAGGGAGTACAACACAACCTGTAAAACATGTTGTATAATGTCTTCTGTGGCTTTGGGGGAGCTTTATCAAGTCTGAGAAAACTTAGTTATGTTATTTTGGGCTTAAAACTTTATTTTTTTGAAATAGAAAATGTACATTACACACTGTGGGCATTGAGGAAAAACATCAGGATCTAAGGAAAGACATAGCTGCATTACTAGAAATGCAGAGATGATGTGGAGAGGGGACTGTTTGAATGTTTTCGCTCGTCTCCCAACTGACGTGGCAAAGGTTTGATTGGCAGATAGTTCTTCTAATCACCTGCCAAGCATAGTATAAAAGTATTTGCCCTTTTCCAAAAGGTTTCCAATGACTCCTTCTCCGATGGGTCTGTGTAACAAACCATCTGGCGGGTCAGGTTTCCTAGACAAGGCCGTTATCTCGTCGCCTTGTGTTGTCAAAATCGCAGGAGTTCGTGTACATTTCGTTCCTTGGAAACTTCCACTGCGCTGCTGGAATTCACTCATCCAACCAGACCGCCGGTATCGGACGCTTTTCTCACAGCATAATTGAATTTGCACGTGAACACAAGAACTAGCCACGGCGTCATTTAAAAAGTACACTTTTTGGCTTTGCACTCCTATAACACTGTCAGACTTGCACTCGCCCTCAAATCGCCTCAACAGAACCAGAGATATTGTTTCCTTTGCTCCACACATTCTTCTTCCTTGTCAAATTCTGGCACCTACACTTCCCACAATGCAACTTGATTAGCGTAGCGTTCTAACGAGGTCTGGTAAAATCAAAGAGGTCTTTGAAGCTCATGATGTTACATTGAGTAAAATGTTCCAACCGGAGACGAGATGTTTTTTAAGGCTGCACCATCAGGTCAGATGCAGATATTCTACATCTCATAAATAGTTCCCTTACAGTAGCATGACAAGTTAGATATATTTCTAAACTTTTATTATGGTCTTGAGAATTTGAAATACTGCTCGTTGCACGACATACTTTTGTCATAATTGGCCCAACGCTGGCAGAGTTGAAGTGGATAATGGCGCTTTAATAAACAACATATTAGGAAGGTACGAAAAGACAGGATGAGAAGCTTCGAAGAAATATCAGACCCAATAGACGTCAGTAGTGCAGGTGAAAACCAGTTCATCTTTGAAGGATGAGCTGATTTTCACCGCAGCAGCTCATTGCGAGCAAACGTATTAGGACCAACCCTCGCTGAGGTCTGAAGGAGGCATTGCTTTGTTTGGTTGTTGCTCCTTTGAAACTCGGTGAGAGGAAAGAGTGCTTTCACTACATTAGTTCCAAGGCAGCTCCTGAATGGATTTTCCCACTGGACACGAGCGATGCGGAGCTGCTCCTTATTGGAGTTTCACAGCAGAGACCCCTGATGAGTTCTCTATTTTGAGCACTTCACCAACATCCACGTGGTTCCTTTTGAGGTCATTGTCACGTTCAGGCAGCTGCTGCATCTTCGGATGTATTCAGAACATCTGTCAATAATCTGTGTTGTTTTGCTTTTCATGAAAAGAAATGTCTGTAACAGCTCTGAGGCACTTTTATTCAGAAGACATGCAGCCTTATGCTGGACACTGGACCTGCGTATGACTTAGCTACTGTCGCTAGGTCGGACAAGCTTGACAAAAAGAAACATGGAGACGTCGGTTCTGTTTAGCCGGCTGCTGCAGATTAGTCTCAAGGCAATATAGCTTCAAGAAGAAGTTGACCGCTTCTTGAAGGATTACAGTATGCGATGGAAGGATATATTTACAATGATAAACTGTACTCGGGTAACCTTGCCCGTTGGGAAGCTAGACGTCGTGAATATCAAAATAAATGACACCATGAGTTACTTAGGGGCGACAGTCGTGGCACAAAGCCTTAAAGAGATAAAAACAAAGGAATGAAATCAGATGAAATAATTCAGGTTCACCAGACGCCTTCGACCTGCACACCCCGCTGGGAGCCAACACCGACACCACGCTGCTGGAGGCCCAGGCCGTATTGCTGGGTTTCAGATTCAGAGCCATGACTAGGACTGAGCGGGGCAGACGGTCAGACCCTGCTGCAGTAAAATGAGAGGTTTTGTAAAGGGACTCTGGTGCTCGGAAACACCACCGCGTTTGTCCACAGGGACGGACAAAATCAACACCTCGTAGTATCTGTGACTTTATACAATGTAATGTGACTCAAACAGTAACGTTACCTCATACAGATGTAGCTAAGTATAACAGGAAAGGGGAAAGTTGACCGAGGATCAGGCGGCTTCCAAGCTTGCTCAATTGGGCGGGACTTATGAAGGGTCAATTGTTGTCAAACTCATTGAAGAAGTAATGCACGGCACAAGAAATGAGTTCAATTACTTGTACTTCATTTTCGTTACGCAGCACAACTCTGTAAAAGGTGCCTTTAAACAACTCCAAAGCCTCCACATATATTCTACTTTGAACATCTCATTGTAAAGGAGAACAACTTTACAATATCATTATCACAACCAGTATTATGCATCCATATTCAGTAGTATTCTGCTCCTCTGCAGACACCTGTAGATCTGATGCCATTAGAAACTCAGCTGTTTTTTCTTCTCTCATACAAATTCCCCGATTACTTCTCCGTTATAAACGGAACAATACTAAACAACTTTCTTATTCCTTCAGCGATGAACAGACACCGTCCCTGAGACGATACACCACCACTTGACGACAATATAAATGATTGCTATCCCTCAGTGAAACGGCTTCCTCGTCTTCTCTGAGCTTCATACATCCAACCACCTTTCAGACTTCTGGATAAATAGAACGATAGAGCTTTTAGGGGGAGAACAAGATGGCATATATATAAAGAAGAAGAGAAAAAACACGCAATCAGTATTCTGCCGTATATTTCATTGTAATTATCCCGGCACTGAAACAATAATGAGCTGTGAGGATACGCTGCATATCAATTTTCAGGCAGTTATCGCAGTGAATGGGGATGATGTGAAGCCCTGATCGCCCTTTGTGAAGGAGTGTGCTGTCAATCTGATTTGGCATGGTGCAGATTGCTCTGGTGAAGCAGTTTTTTTTTTTGATAAAGTCCCAGTGGAAGAGTTGATTGGATCTCCTGGCACACTGGCTGTGGGTTCGGCGTCGTTCACTGTTGACGTTTCTGAGGAAGCCTTGAAATCCATTAAGCTGTAACAGTATTACCGTTCATCTCGGAGGAGGCGAGGCTTTACTGCTGCCACCAAGACGACTGCTGGAGTCTTTTCTTTATTTATTTTTATTGGCACATCAGGCCATCAGCGCTGGGCTGGACAATCACAGATCCACATTTTTAGGGGACAAAAGTCTCCTTTCACACTTGGACAGCCACTGGCCACAAAAAAAAGTCTAAATTCAATTACAGTGATAGCATCAGCAAACACATAGTCACACACAGAACCAAACTCATCCGCACAAACGCATGCAGCTGCATGCACAAACACACAGGCACACACACACACACACACACACACACACACACACATACATACGGCTGAAAGGCAATGAAATGGCCGCAAACCCTTCAACTCCAGACAGAAATCAATTTCCAACTTGGAACTTGTGCTGAGGAGAGACGGTAATCGGCGGGAAAATAAGGGCTTGTTTGCTCCTGATAAGACAAGCGACCATGACACATGTCCCATAAATTGAGATTTGATAGATTTGCCTTTGGGGTGGTTGATGGGGGGGTGGGAAGAGGGTCTGGAAGGGCACGATATCTGAGTGACAACTGATTTCTATACAGGAGGTCCAGACTTTCTAAGAGGATTTGTGCTCTAAACAAGCTTGGGTAATGTGGCTTAAATATATTGTTGAACAAGACGGTATCAATATGAATATTTTACCGATATTGATCGGTGACAGAGGTGAAAGACGAACACAGGACTGTTGTCCAGGAGATCGATGCAAATCTAAAGGTATGGTTAACATTTTGTGGGGTGGGTGAGTCGTTTGTCGAGTTAATGCTCTTTTCCTAAACTTGACTTTGTAGTTTCGTTGCCTAAATCTAACTTCCTGTGAAGAAGGAAGTTTATTTTGAAAAGACACTATGCATGTAACGAGTGCAAAACTCACGCTAGAGGAGTATGTAGAGCGTCATAGTTTGAAGCTTAGTGCCACTGATCTCGGTATTTTGGTTTTGAACGTTTCTTTTGACATTTCCTTTGCCAGTGCCAGCTGGTGGTTGCTTACTCACTTTATCCTTTACACAGCCTACTGTAGTCTAGATGTTAATTAACTCCCATTAGGCTGCAGACAGTAAAAAAGCTGAAGTTTCACAGCGCTCAGCTGCTTCCATAAACTAAAGAAACAATCCCACTCAATCCCAAATCGAAAGCTCACCGTCTTGTTCCCCTAAGTGCTCTCATTGTCACCTATAACATCTATCCCAGTCCATTGTCTATGGAGCACTTCTAGACCTTATACTTGAAGACATACATGAATTAGGGAGAGAGTTGTTCATATTTACTAATATTTTTGGACTGTCTCTTAGACCATAAGAATAAATTGAAAATATGTGTTCTTCCCATCTAAAAGGAACAAACGGCACTCTGTAAAGAGTCCCAGTAAAGTGTGGTCATAGACTCTAAGTCTCTGTAACTCTACTCGAGGGCTAAACCATATTTTATCTTTAATTCTATTCACGACACTTACTTTCCCCCTCCATGTCCATATATAACACTCTACCCCCCTGCATCGAAACTAAATAGAAATTATTTCCTACAACCTTTTTAAAGAAGAGCACAAAACCCGCGACGCTTCGAGGAAAAGACAAATCTCTCCACTCACGTTGATGACGGTCCACTGCTCCACTACGATGGCATCGTATGTCGGGGTTGCCGCGTTCGGCTCAACCTCGCTCGCCTCCTGGAAGATGAAGACGCTCTCCACCGACTTAGGCAGCATATCTGCAGAGAAGAAGAACGAGGAAATAAATCGAGGCCTGAAGAGAGTAGTTACTGGATGGAGCGTGTCTGTCTTGTCTCTGCGGCTCCTTTTTTTGGCCCTCCAGGCCGGAGGAAATGGAATAATATCACTCAGCCACATTCACACACAACCCTTTATTACATAGCCAGTGGTGTGGGCCATTTGTATGAGCAATGTGCACTTATACATTATGCAGGGGGACAGTGTAAAAGAAAGGAGCAGGTATTCCCCTTCTGGGATGTTTAAAAAGAAGAGGAGACATTATGTGCTGGGACCCGGAGCCCTGCTGGTTTTCTTGCTCGACAGCTACACAAAGCCTAATCGCGGCTGGGAAACAAGGTGAATGCAATAGCTGATAGGATTCAGAGGATCAGGACTGAGAGCCACCGCTTTAAAAAAAAAGAAGAGATGGACAGATTTTAGCGATGGAGAAATGCAGCCACTGATTTAATGAAGTCAGCCCGTAAGGCATTAAAGCATAAATCCTTTTGCTAAGCCTGAATAATTCACCTTTAGAACGACTTGAATTAAGCGAGCCACATAAAGACATTGACGCTTTAGGCCACGAGTGAGATTGTGTGCCGCTGACCAAATAGATTTTCTAAGCTTCTCTCCTGTTGGAAGGTAACAATCGCAGGATTGCCACCCGAGACAGAAACGGCGCTCCGGCCCTTGAGAGCTGGGACCCCTCTCCACCTAACGTCTCATGTTATTCATTTGATGCACATGCACGTTACATGCAGGCACACACACACGCACACGGACACAATACCAGGGTCCAGTCGTCCCGGCTGGCCTGAGTGCTTTCTCATTACTCCTACACCATTTACACACTAATGCAGTTTGCTGGGGCCCAGACACCAATACGAGACACTCCACATTTCATTACTGGGCCCTAATAGTAGGGGGATGAGAGGCTGCTGGAGAGGAAAGAAAGAGAAGGAGGGATGGAGCAAGACAGTAGGAGAGAAGGAGTGGAGGGATGACAGGCTCTTTTATTACCCTCCCCTCTCTGAAAACCTATTTAGGACCTGCGCACGCTCAATTGAAGACATCTCTCACACATACTCTCTCAAATACAGACATTGTCACTGTTCACCCCATCCACCTGTTCGCCTTTTTTTCCTCCTCCACTCCCTCTATCTCCTCCTTCCTCCCTCCAGTCCAACGCTTCTCCGTCTCATTCCTCAGCCCCTTGGCATATCGTTTGAAAGAAGCCTTTTGTGTAAAAACGTGAGGCGCCGAGGCCCACCGTCGGTTCCCCCGCCGGGCGCGACAGGGATCACTCGGGTGCAGCTCGACAAAGGGTTTCTGTCTCGCTGCACTAGAGGGAGCAGCCTGTCTCTGGTGATAATGCAGACGGAGGCTGTGCGGAGGAGAGAGGGAGAGAAAGAGGGAGAAGTGGAGGAGAAGGAGTTGGTTGCTGGGGGCGTAGTCCGTCTGGGGAATGCACCGGTTGCGTGCACGAATAAACATTATCTCGCGCCTATTGACTGAGAGCTGAGCCGAGCACCCGGCGGGCCGACAGAGAATAAGTTGTTTACACTTGCAAAAAAAAACAAAAAAACACCGTGCGTGCGCCCTCAGTAAAATTGCTCTCCATCCCCCCCCGTGACTCACACAGTCAAGGTCGCAGGGCGAGGCATGCAAATACAGTCGCACTAAAAAATGGGGAGTGACAGCGTTGGGACTGAGAGACACAGGCAAATGGAAGGGGAGAGTCAGATAGCTGGAGTGACAGCAAAGTGACACATAGCAGCTGAAATCGGCACACAAATGACAGATGGGGGGAGGGGGGTCACCAACCCAGTGTGCGTAAGCTGACGCACAGAGTGTGAAACCTAAAAGTTTGTCGTAGTCTGTGGTGTGTGGGTGTTTGGATGTAGATGTGAGGTCTTTGGCTGCACATATCAAGTGAGTTTGGAAGCAGTTTGTTCCTAATATTCATGGTGTCCAACAGACGGCTGGGGAGAGAGGCCGAGGTGATTCTTTCTGTGTCCTTAAATGCCCTCAGACTCATCTGAGCCTCTGCAGTGTTAAAGTTACAGTTACTCCTATTAGAATACACAGCCCTCCATCTGAGTATGAGAAGCAAAGATGATAATAGTGTTTTTGAACATTAAAGCATGTGAACGTATTCTATGAGACATATGAAACTACTGCAATCGAATAAAGCGTTCCCAATGTTCGCATTTGCAAGTCCATGAGCTTTCACATATCGCCGTCTGTGCGTTCAAGTCCAGCTGCCCGCCGCAAAGTGACCCCGCCCAAGGTCACGTCTGCTGACATGATTTAAACGTGTGCCAGGCGCTGCCTCACAGAGCTGGAGACAGGCGGCTGACAGCTTATCTATATATTTCAAACAGGATAAGTGGACATCAAGAGAGAGGGAAAAGAAAAAGAGACCGTGGTGTCCTGTGTCTGTGTGTGTGTGTGTGTGTGTGTGTGCGTGTGTGTGTGTGGATGGATGGATGGATTGGATGGATTGGATGTGGATGTGGATGTGGATTGGATGTGGCTCTTCCCTGTGGAGCCAAAGGTTTAGCAGCTGGCAGGCTGGTACCTGTATGTTACCGGGCAGACTTTAGCTTTCTCACACCTGTAGAAAGGATTCATCCTCATCCACCCTGAAAATACATGCTCTGGCAACTACGCACTGACTAACATGGTAAAACCTCAAGATAACTATATTTTTGTGATTAAAGAATTTTATAAAGAGAGAGCGTTTCCTCCACTAGGTACAGAGGACTGCCTTTCAGTGTAAAAACAAAATGGCGTCATCAACATTTGTGGATCATCGCCAACGCTGCCGAACCGCTTTGTTGGACTTGTGCCTGCTGAGGTACTCGTTTATTAAGATTATCGCTCTGCTCATGAAAATCTTAATAGATCAATGGCACCTCTTCACTTCACAGTCACTCTTTCAAGCACTACAATTGGGAACATGATCTAGTTTTCTATTCAAGAAGTTTGTGTGATAGTGGTGGGTGCTCGTGTTTAGCCCGGGTTATGCACGTTCTCACTCCCAACTGGTCAAATACGGCAGCTTGGTCACTGGCCCTCCATGTCAAACTATGACGCTCTACTGGACCTTCATTATGGCATTAGTAAAGTAGGAAGTCCGGTTATGGTCTAGAGACGTTGCCGTATTTTAAGTTGCGTAACATTTCTACCCTGTTTACATTACAGTTTACTTGACTACCAGTCAAATGTTCTTATTTTAACCAGATCACGATCTTTTCCCAAACATAACAAAGTACTTTTGCTGCCCAAACTTAGCCAAGTTGCTGCCTGTGTAAACAAAAGTTTATTTTGAAAAGACGAGTGGAAATTAACACGTGCAAAAGTGAACTGAACTGCTTGGTTTAAATTCCAGTGCTAAATGAACACAGAACTCAGGACACATGCTGTGCAGATAAAACCTGTGTACACATAACTACAACCACACAGAAAGCCAAGTGTGCACATAAGTGTACACACACGTGCACAGACATTGCAGTACTAATTCCACCTCTTGTCAACTTTTGCTGCACATGGTTTCTCTTTGCCTGAATTTCTTTTTACAGAATAATAGTAAAAAGTCCTTATTGTATTTTCATATTCCCTGTATCTCTCTTGCTCTATCTCTCTCCCTCTTTGCCCAAATATAGAAACCAGTGAGCGCTGACTGTCATGCATATGAATAGCTCAATGTCTCACACCCGGGCTACAAATCCTCATTGTGGCTCTGGAAGATAGCTTAAGCTATACAAGTAACGCATTCAAACTCCCCGTCAACACCATAACTGTCAGTTCTTCAGTAAACAAACTCACCCCCCACCCTGCTCCCAACTCGATGAGATGGTGTGAACGTATGTGTATTTGGTGTGTTTTAAATGTTTGTGTGTCTCTGAAGGTACATGTGGATGCATGCTGGCATACTGCGTGCATGCGTGTTTGTGTGTGTGTGTGTGTGTGTGTCTGTGTGTGTTTGCAGGCAGTGCCACAGTTTGTATGAATCTTTAATGCGTGTCTTATGACCGTGGAGCGACCCGCGTGCAGCTGAGGATCTGTAAATTCAATATTGCTGTAATATCCTACCCTGTGGCTCGGGCGAGGTCTCCACTCACTGCAAACAATCCTGTCACACCAGACAGGACTTACACTATCTGAGCGATATACACACAAATACACACACATGAATGCAAACAAAGTCCTCCCGAATGCTTTCTTATTCGGCTTCACCATGGAAACCCATCTTTAGAAGGAGCACAGGGACCAACATGGTGCGGTTTTTGTTGTGTGTGAATGTGCATCCCTCTGGACCATGCCACAGCCGACTGTCAGAGACGATAGAAAGGTAGCACAGTTTTTAGGAAAAGACTCAGAGACTGACTGCAGGAACATGTGCAGTGATGCACAGGCTAAAACTAAAGGCAGGTCATCTATCAACTCTAGGTCCACAACAACAGACTCTTGTGTTTTCAGAGTCACATATTTTCTCATTGTTAACATTGCTGTGAGGAACCTTTAGCTGGTAATGAGCACTCTGTTTAATACGGATGCTTCTATATGACCCATTTAAGTAAACAAGCTCTGCACCCCACTGGGAGCCAACACCGTCACATTGTTGGAGACCAAGGCCGTATGGCCGGGCCCACTGGAGGAAAGGGAGGCACGGGACAACTAGAACCAGGACTGAGAGGAGCAGACTGTCAGACCCTGCTGCAATAAAATGAGAGGTTTTCTAAAGGGACTCTGGTACCCAGAAACACTACCGCTTCTGTCTTCATGCAGGGAATTAAAGTTCCTCGTAGTGACTTGAAGTAACTTGTATCAGTTTCATGGGATTTGTAACGCTAAAAATGTATTTTAGGTTTAGAAAGTCTTTAAAATAGTAAATAAATCCTCTGAATTGTGCTGATTCTACCAATTAAGCAGGATGAGAGCATACAGATCAGTGAGATGGAATTATATAGAAGCAGCAAACAATTTAAAAAGGAGAATAAACCACTTTATACGAGTGTCATACACTGATGTATCACCATGCTGATATTTATTAATATTGGATATTGTCCATTCCCCCTTCACACCCTCTGTGATTAACGTATGCAGCTCTTTAAGTGCTTTCAAGTTGACTATAAATCATTTGACTCTTTGGAATTTAGGCATCATTTATTTTAAATCAATTACTGAATGATGGGCTTTGCTTAACAACAACGCAATTATGAACAAGTGTTGATGTATGGTTTACTTTTAATGTGTTACTGTTGACTCACAGTAAGACAGTGTTGTCATTGGAAATATACCTTTATTGTATTTGCGTGGATGAGTCATGGAGGATGGGAAATCTGTTGCACTTCCAAAGTTGCCAAATTTGACTTTATAACAAACCATTGCCATCCATGATATGAAGCAGGCAGGCTCTGCAACACATCTTTCTTTTGGAGAAATAGTGTAAAACAAATATTAGTCCAACAGGATGAAAGGAAAAAAGGCCCCAGGAAGGTCAGTCTTTGAAAACACACACAATTGCACTCATTAGTATCTGTCGGTACATGAAAGCTGAAGCGCGCTGGTTTGCTCTATCTCAAAACAAGGCCGTCACTGTCACTACGATCACCCATCTGACTGCGAGCGTCTCTCGCTGTCAGTTCATGTCCTTTAGAGTGCTGCTTTGCTGTCACACGTGTCCTTGATGTTTACGAGGGTTGAGATGGTCTCCTGCATCGTGTCGCGCGCCTCATCGTGAATTCAGAAACTCGTCTCAAAGAAGAGTCGCTAAATATGGAAACGGCAGGAAAGGATACTGATTCTAGAGCCCAGCTGCACGGCTGTTTTATTTAATTAGCTGCTAACAACAAACCGGGTGCCGCTTTGATGTCGTACGGCCAGCTACTCTCAAGAGACCAAAATCCACAAAGTACAGCGTTCACCTATGTAAAGTTGTCTGTTTTCTAAAGTGGCTGAGCCCAAGCTGTGAGCTGAGTTCACTCCTATAAGTCTGTGAAGGCAGAAACTGTTTCATAATGCAGCCGATCTGCTTCCAATCCCACCCAGTAATTTCACTGTTCGAGAGACGCATATCTTATCAGCGCATGAAAAATGCAAAATATGTTCGAGGACCCTAATAAGCAGAAGAAAAAAAAAATTGAATCATAATAACACACTTCATTACTCCATTCTCAGGACATGAAATATGCAGGGAGGCAGTAATTTGTTATCAGGTTAATTATCTATGTTTCAGAGTTGCTGAGGCGTTCACTTTCCCAGATTAATGAATTATGACTCTTATTTACTCTGGCTGGCTGATTTCTCCAGTGTCACAGTGAAGCGCAGAGCCACCGGGGTCTGATGGAAGAGGAAAACCCAAACAGGAAATAGTTTAAAAGAGGATACTAGACAGCTCCGTGAACTCGAGCTTCAAAAGCATCCTCCACTGGTGAAAACAGACTCCATCCTTCTATCATTTATGGGGACACCATAGCAGTGTCTCAGCTTCCCTTAAAACCTCCAGCATACAGTGACCGGACGTCCCGGTTTATTCAGGATTGTCCCAGTTTCAAGCAACATGTCCTGAGTTCTGACAAACGGCTGTAAAATACTCAAATGCCCCGGTTTACAACTATCAAATTGTAACAGTTTTAGTCTTCGTCCTTCCTTTGTAAAGTACCGTCAACGAAGATGCTGCATTCTGGACACACTGCAAGAGTTCATTTCTGGTCACCCACAGTGGAATCGCAGATATAAAAGATCATATTAAGACGGTCAGATAACAACATACAATAGCTGGCAAAGAATCACAGCCGACCATTCAGCCGGCAGCCTGCGCACTGACAAGTACCTTCATTTTAGTTTTTAACAGGTATCTGACAATCTATAATTATGTTACACCTATTCAATTCTGTGTTTTGTGTGTACTAGTTTAATTATACACTTTTCAAATAAACTATTAATTATACAACCACAATTTTTGGAGACAAAGCATCCTTTTTTGTGTCTGCTGGCCATGGTGCTGAAAGGTATACTCAGTGGGTGTGTCAGGAGCTGAAATAATTGTCCCTCATCCCGATGAAAATGCCAATGGTGCATGAACGTGTGCTACACTTAAAAGTTTGAGGGAGTTGAAAATACGGTCAACCCACTCTGGCAGTTTAGAGTGTTTACATTTTGCAAATAGACACGTGAAGCAATTGTGGAAGACTTTGACCAACTTCTGATGTTAGCCATGTATAGAATGTTACCTTCGTCCGGTCTTGTGCTTGAAACAGACCAAGCAACGTTGCAAAGTGCAATAGTTACGTTCTCTGCTGCTGGAAGGTGTCTTCATGTGTTTCAGGCAGAAAGGAATTCTTTGTAACATAGGCTAAAATGGCAAAGGAGTAGTGGTGCGACAGATCACAGAACTCACGGATCGGATCACAGATCACGTCAGCGCAAAAGAAGAAAAGGGAGCAAATATAACTTTTAGAGATCCCTGATCACGTTTTTTGTGCCGCTGATACTAATACCGATCAGTGATGATCCATATTGTTACTGCTCTGAAGTCTGTAAACCATCAAAAGTTCACTTTGTTATAGTCCCCTATACAGTTCTCTAATAAAAACACAATTCAATTAAGGAAATAAAAGATTGTATTTTTATGGATTAAAACAAATCTTGTTATTCGTAGTTTTAATGATGTATTATAAGCTGCTTCGAAGGTCGACAAACACTTTCTAATATCCGTTCATGTTGTTGTGAAAACAACATGAACCAACACTACATTTTACAAGATTACATGTGAACACATCATGATCACGATATAATTTACCTTCGCCCAATACTCATTTTCACTAAACAGAGCCTGAACGCATCATAATGTAACTGAATGGAACCTCTGTTCTCCTCAACACGTTTTGGTTGTTTACGATGTAACATTATCAGAGATCGGCGACTAGAAAAGAATAAATACAGATTTCCTGTTCGCATATTTTACTGAATATTGGCAGATAACTTCAGTAAAACTTTATTTCACACTGTGAGGGTTAACACTAAATTGTGTAATTAATCCGCGGGTCACATGCGTGCCGAACCATGAGGGGGGATCCGTACCGATCACGTACCAACAGTTGTCCGTTACACCACTACACAGGAGTCGCAGGACTCTGATTGGCTGTGGGTATTATCTGGCTGTAATTTGCCGGCAAAAGTTAAACGATCTAATTTGGCTGCACTTCCCCGCAGAATCAAACGGCCGCAGCTCGTTGAGCTTGGAGCGTCCGCCGCAGCTTTTGAAATTTTGTTAACTGTAATTGTCGGAGCTTTGAGAGGACCTGGAGAGGAATAATTCAGGAGAATGTAAGAAGCCAAGACCAAAAGCGAAGGCTCTTTTAATATTTCAGTGACCAAAACTCAAACCTCTCATTCTAAAAATCTCTTTTGATTGTGTCTGAGATGTAACCTGAAAACAGCACATGTGCGTTTTATTCTTTATGAGACATTTCATCCCACATCTTTAGCTGGTAAAAATCAGTGTTCTGCAGTGACAGCTGGCTTACCGCTCCCATTACCCAGGTGGAAGTATCCATCGACCAGTGAGGCTCCATTGTTGAAGTGCTGAGTCATGTGATCCAGCCAGTTGGCTTCCACGCCTTTGACCCCCTCATCACAGTTTTGAACCCGCAGTGGCACCTTGACAGTGTAGTACTTCATCTGGCCCTCTCGCACCGGCGGGTGGTTGTACAAAGCCAGCAGTTCCACGCCTGTTGAGACAGAAAACAAAAAAACCCGCCATTGATTTAACTCCATATGGGTTGTGACAGTACAGATGTAGCCTCTGTGGAAGTCCCACGATTTACTGCATGATTATTGAACTACTGCTGTACATTGGCCACAATCCAAAGTGCAATTTGGCACCGTCTGTAGGAGCACTTTTCCTCTTCAGCTGCCAGAAGTTTTAAGAAATGGCCCGATAAACGGTTGGCGGAGAGACAGCAGTGCTTTCGTTTGAAATATACAACTTTTTGTGGCAATGCAAACAACTATCTGCAGTATTTAGTCATGAACCACTTCTTTACAATCTTAAAAGACTTCTTTATTTGGGAGAACTTACTTTCCTGTGATTTTACAACGCTAACCACACAACCACACTGTGGGCAATGTGGCAATAACCAATTGGAAGGACATTTATTTCCTATGAGATAAGCAAACAATGAAACGCAGCCAACGTGAGGACAGTCAAAAAGCTTCTTGGCCAAGAAAAAGTTGGCCACAGTTCCTGGTAGTCGACGGCAAATACAAATTTGTGTGCTTTCTTGTTTTCCAGCCAGTTAGATTTTTTTTCTCCTGTTAAAAATGTGTTAATTCATGTCCTTGGAAACAGATACGAAAGCTGAGCTACCAAGAGTAGGAACTACCTTTGTCTCAAAATGTCAAGAAGCTAAAATGTTCATGTAAAATAGCTACGCTTATTAGTAAAGTCTGAACATTAGGGAACAAAACATGGACACGGTTTCACACGGGACAATAACAGCGGCCTCCTGAGTTAAAGTCCTTTGTTCTGTGAATTGTTTAACTTCCCCTTCCTCCTGTCCTACTCAGATTATTATTCGCTATTTAAACGTCTGTTGCTCTGATATCTAATAATGATGTGGATGGGTTAACATTGGAGTTAGTTGTAAGCCTGCAGCGTCTCATACAGACGCTGCAGGGTGCCTCAGACGCCGATGGGCACTGACAAAGCTCCGGTACCTGACCCATTGGGAGGGAGACCGCGTTGTGATCATACAATACATATGTGAAACTTGTGCTCTTTACTTTTTGTATCATTTGAAGATATTTAAGATGCATCCTGAAGCTGTTTTACGTACATTTCTGGAGTTTTGTAAGCCCTTGTGCGCAGGACAAATTTGTATGCCAGATACTGTAATACAAACCTCAATATCATTATCATATCATGAGCAAAAACTCCACCTGGCAGGTGCAAAATAGACAAAAAATGAAAAAGTAAAACAAGATTAGATTTGTGTTGCCGAGAGCTGGACTCACAAATACGCTGAAAATCCTTTTCAAGGCTGCTGCCTCTTTTTTTTCCTCTTAGTTGTTTTTCAACAACAAACGTGAAGTGAATCAAAAGCAATTTGATGTCATTCATGCTACAAGTCATGCTCATTTTTCTTTTAATGCTTTCCAGAAGTGACGTTACCCTGCTGACGCGAAACTTGAAAGGGACCATTTTATTGTAACCGAGTTAATTTATAGTATAACCTTGAATAATGCATTAAAAGCTCTCCAGCTAGCTGTTGTTTGCATCAAGCAGAAATATATACATAATGCAGCCGGCCTCAGGAGGGGGAAACGGGCTTGGGAATATGCCCACAGTATGTCGCTGCTCCTCGCTCGCATCATACTAAATCAAAGTGGAAAGAGTTTTATTTGTTGTGACGTGAGGGAGTGAAACATTGGCTCTTTGAAAAAACACAAAACGTGAGATGAGAGTGGCGTTCGAATCCGGCAATTCAAATCGAGTCCGGTCACATTTTCCCCCCTTTCTTTCGAATGCAAATGTCCGACTGTCAATCCACAAGTGAACCAGATGGATAAGCAGAATGTGCGGCACTGCCACCCACCCGTCCACCCACACACTGTGAAGTGTGTGTGTGTGTGTGTGTGTGGGGGGGGGGGTCAGTGGCAGGGGGAGTCATGGCTCAGTCGCTTTGGTTCTTCCGTCCATCCATCCGTCCGGCAGACACCCAGGAAGTATGAATCATTCATAACCGTTTCTTGTCTGGCTCCTCTGACTGATGTGACAGCTGGCCACCAAATTCCCTAAATCTTGTCATTTGTCACTCTTGACAAAAGTTGAATCACAGCAGAAATATCCACCCGCTCTCCCCTCGCCCCTCCCCGATGTTACCCTATGTTACCCCACGTTACGAGGACAATATGGCAAACAAAATCTTGTACGATGCGCAACAACGAAATGACTTCCCATTCAACATGAGTCCGACCTGCCAAAGCGACCCGTTGTGAATGATTTTGTTTCTGTGTGTCTGTGAGCTTCGGGTCATGAAGAACACTGCTTCTGAAAAATTGTGTCACGCTTTGGATCACGGCTCTGACTTTCTGTAATTGTGGTGTAATTAGACAAGTGGCAACATTAAGCCACATTCAAAACTGATGATTCCTTTGCCACTGATGGGACTGTTCATTTATAACAGCTTGCAAGAAACATGCTGCTCGGCCTCCGATTCTCTCACAATATTGTTTTCCATGCATTACATTTCATTACTGTCTAATAAAGCTATGATTATGGCACCAGGGCAACTGTTATTCAGATGGAGGGGTAGCTAGCTAATTTTCTAACCCTGATGTGCTCAGGAAATACTTTCCGGGTCTGTAAACACCTTTTCAGCTGAGCTGCGTTCACAGGCGATATTATATACCGGATCCAGTACCTTTCCTAAGGGAAGCTTCAGCAGGGCAAAACAGAGCGGGGGGTTGTACCAAAAGATATGGGAACTATCTTATATTTATATATAGGCCTGCTGATATCCATCACTGTGGACTGCAGGATAATATTAAGTCAAACTGGAGCCGTGCTTTCGCTCGGCATTCTTAGTATTTCAGAAATGATTTTGATAGAAATCTGTAGGGCTGCCCTCTAAACGTCCATGATTCAAAACATCAGTCAAGAAGCACCTGAGCCGACTCACATTTTGTCAGTTAAATCCCCGCCTGTTATTTGTTTTCCTGCACTATTTCACACAAATAATGATTTGTGTGCAGAATTAGAAATCTGACTCTCGATGTTCTCTGTGAGTGACGAGTTGCATCGCTGGAAATGAATCGTAGAGGGACAGATACATCTTTCTATTTTCCAGCTGCAAAAGTCAAATCGGAAGCATTTCTAATATTTTTGGATTTGCATTCTGCATTGTGTTGAATGTCAGCAAGTATTAGTAAGTGCTTTTGTGGCATTAATTTATACAACAAAATTGTGGCTGAATATTCATAAAATTGCATTAAATGGTTAATAGTGACAGATTGACTTTCTCCCCATTTTACCAGCCAGGACTCAAACCAGCATGACAAGCTTGAGATGCAGCAACAACATCCTATAATTCCTGCGAGAGGAGCAGATCCTTTATTGTTAGGAAGAACATGAGGTTACGGTTCTTTGATCTTTACAAAACTCCATTAGTGACCAACATAAATCTCTAAAACGAGTCTGTTGCCAAGCTCACCGCTCCCCTTGTCTCCCTGTTCTGCTTTGGCCTTTAAATGACACAAGCAAACATTACCGTATTATATGTATATGTATGAGTGTATGAATAATAGAAACAGAGCTGGAGAGGATACAGTGGTGCGGCGTCATTTGCTTTTCGGCCGTGTAACCAGAACAACATTTGAAAGCCAGACGCTGTCCCGATCAATAACTTTATTACTGTTTCGGAGAATTATTATGCTCATTTTTGTGCTATAGGGCAGTAAAAACTAACCTACTGCCCCGGTGATTTGTTATAGCTATACTTGCGTATCACACACACACACACAGACACACCAAAGAGTATGACTCAAAGAGTCCTTTGTACCCAATCGAGCGAATGAATTACATCAACACAGACTTTCAGAATAAAGTCTGTGCAGCTAACCTGACTCTGGCAGTCCGGCTGACGCATGATTAGCGTCAGGACGTTGAAAGCATGTCGTTCAAAGGCTTATCTGACGGCAGCCCCGCTGTCCAAAATGACGAGGTCGGCGGCAGTAACCCTGCAAGTGATGTCAGCAGCGCGGCTTTCCTGCCTGACATGTCATCATCAGCTGGACACTGATCCCATCGCAGCAGAGATAACACTGATCTCAGGGGTAAAACCAAGCAGCTGAAAAGACTCCCTGAGCACGTTGACTAAGATGATTTCCGACTGATATTCCTCAGGATTACACACTCGAGATAAAGCTCTTAATTTGTTTTCATTTTACGCCGTGTTTGAAGCTTGTTATGTGTGTGTGTGTGTGTGTGTGTGTGTGTGTGAGCAGCTGATGGAACAGGAGTCTGGGTTTGATCTTCTCACTTCAGTATCATGATTTTGCTGCACAACTTCTTATCCCAGCTCTTCCTACAAAATACATTTAAATATTACTGCTGATTTGCACTGTGGCTTATGTGTTTTGGAATCCATGGAAGATGACCTTGTTGTAAAGCGCAGAAGTCGTTGTGCAGAGATAAGGCTGGAAAAGAGATAAAATATGGTGGAATTTAAATGTTCCCTCAGTGTGTTTTAAAAAAAAAAATAACCCAGGTGGCGATTAATTCCCTACAAAATGTTTTCGCTCATGCAAATTAGCTGTATCTGAAAGCAGACGCAGGGTTCTCTTATCCAGACATAATTGTACAGCTGTCTCTGCCATGTTATGCGTTCCGTGTGTCCTTACACCAGAATCCCTTTCCTTCAAAGCATCCAAGCGTTTTGATTCTTCAAACTTATGGGCTCAGTTTCTATCCAGAGCTCCAGTCTCGGGGACAGCGATCATCTTTAAGCCACAGACTTCCGCCAGCTCCACGGCCAACACTTCGACGTTCACCTCGAGATCTGAGGATTAACGAGGACAAGCCAACGGTAGCCGAGACTCTCGGGCCTCCTCGGCAGACTGGGCATTAGTAGAAAGAGGGACATGGGAGCTTGGCAGGCTCTCTTTGCCACCCCGGCTGGCTGCTACAGCAGAGCTGCTGGCGTTGTCGCAGGGATTCAGGGGGGATGAAGGTGGGGGGAGAGCTGTGAAGCTGAGGGAGGTAGAGGACGAGGCAGTGGGGGATTATCTCACAGCAAAATGCACTGTAGGGAGGCCCAGATGGACCAGTGGGCTGTGGTCTGCTGTGATGCCAAATTTGTTTTACCGCACACATATATACATAAAGACGCACACAAACTAAAAGCACAAAGTGTGTGCATGCACTATGCAACGCCCAGTATTAGGTGCTTTGAACCTTAATCGCTTGACCATACAAATACTGGGTATACACAAACACACAGGCGTTAACACTCCCTCTGGGACGTGTGTGCAATTCACAGTTTGCACATTGCGCTGACGCATATCAAAAAATAGGACGAGAGGAGAAGAGGCTGCAGGAGGGGGGGCGACAGTGGTGGGAGTCTCCATCTGTCCATACGAAATGCTCAAATAAAGCCCAAACTATAAATGTCTGTTGTAATTTTAACAGCGTTCCCACAGGAAAAGGGGGGCTGCCGTGAATAACTCGCCGACGTGTGCATCACTTGCTGGGGAGACAGAAAAGCGGGCCGTGAAATGTGCACTTTCCCGAAAAAAAACCCGCCGAAGCTCCTGGTGGAGAATTTTTTACAGACTTGGCTTCATCAGCTAAGCGTGAGTGTGAATTTGTATGCGCCACATGCTATAAGACGATTCTCTTTGTGTAACGGAGAGAGAGGATTATATCCCAAGGCAGCACGTTGTTGTGTAACATCGAGGCAACACCAAGAAATGACACCTCCGCGGTTGCCAAGTGGTTCAAGAGGGATCTGGGGTGCCACGCTGTTCTTTAGTTAAACAGCCAAAAGGTACGGCTTCAAATGAAACCAAAACACAAATTTGCAAAGATATCTAGAGCGATATTGGCCGAAGATTAGCAGCTGCCAGTTTGAATATCTGTGAATGTGAGACGAGAAGCTACAGTTAACAGTTGATGCCCCCGAGTGCAGGATTTAACCCCCGAATGCTTCAGCTGCTCTGGGACCAGCAGTCGACTGCGGTTTGATGAAGGAGCTCACAGTTGTGAATGTGTAGAAACATGCAGCATAAAAAACGTTAGTTTGGAATGGATGAAGTTAGGTTAAGACAACATTCAGCTAATACAGAAGCACTGATCCTTTCAGTTTTGACCTTTAATTATCTAAATTGTCACTAGTTCTGTCTGTAAATTATAAGGATAGCTGTGTGGCATGTAGGAGAAAGCAAGCCTTTGAAATAATCTTTGCTGAATTTGTCCAGGAAAGGAATAAAAGTAATGTATATTTGCTATTGATTCTACACCTGCACATGCGTGTGACAATGGTGCAGGTCAACGTATCCTCATACAGCGGGTCCTATGATATCGTACGGAACGTTACTCCTCCTTTTTCGTACGTTTTCCTACGAAAGCCAGCAACACGCGTCACCCTCCGCTCGTTACGCTCTGTCTTCACAGGAAACTCAGTTACGTTTAGGCAACAAAACTACTTGGTTAGGTTCGGGAACAGATTGTGAATTATTTAGTTGGGTTTAGGAAACAATGGTGAAATACTTAGGTTTAGGTTGAACAGCGGTCTCCTGTCTGAAACACGCTGCTTGCTGATGAACTCATCCACCCGCCCCCAGTGTAAGTGCAGCACATGGCATGTTTCCATGGCTGTCCATTACCCAGAACAGGAATCATCCCAGGAAAAGTCATGGTCACGAAGCATTTGTCAACACCTCACTACGTCATTCACTTACTGTTGCGTTTGCTTTGTCTCTACTCTCTTCCCCCTGATTCATTCATCACAGCATGCTGGAACTTTATAGTCTTAATTTGCATGTTTTTTTGTCAACACATCCTTTTAGTTTGAGTTTATGATGGTAACCATAGAGGCCACTCACCGTCGCCCCTCCGCGGGCGGTATCTCGGCCTCTCCTGTGCGTCTCTGCCGCTGTCTTTGTTGTTGTTGTGACACGGCGACTCCTCCTCCGTCACCTCCTCCGTCAGCTCCTCGCTGTGCTCCAGATCTCCCTCCGGTGTTGGAGACGCCACAGGCGAGACTCCGCCCTGGCTGCCCTCCACCCCGCTCCCTGACTGGCTCCCAGTGTTCCCACTTTGATTCTTCTCCCCACTTGGTGCTCCTTCCCCGGCCTCGCATGAGGCCTCCTCATTGCCGTCTTTGTCCACCGCGGCCGCTTGAGCTCCAGGTGCTCCGTGGTTTCTGGGGCTTGAGGGGTTCGAGGGGCTGCAGCTGCCCAGCGAACCGAGCACAGAGCTGGGGCTGGAGTGCAGGGAAAGGGAGGGGGTGTCTGGTTGTCGGATCCTGGTGCACGGGGCCCCGTAGGGTTCCTGGACAAATCCCACGAACATCACCCCCTGGTCAGCAGCATCCTGGATCTGCTGTTGGGCGAAAAAAAGAAATTCAAAGTTAGAATGAAAAAGACAAATGCAGAGATCTTCTTATGTGAAGCTGCTGTTGTTGCACTCGTTAGTTTCGGGGTTTGGAGCATCAGAAAAATACCTAAATTGTAAATTCAGAATGCAAAATTAAACCAACCTATGAAGCAGAACACACACACACCAAGTTATTTCCCAAGAGATCTCAAACTGGAACCAAACTTTCAGAATTACTTGGAGATCAATTATCTTGAAATGGAATTGTTTTCCCCACAATAATCTGCATGGAATCCCCTGCATCTGTTTGTCTTTTCTTCACCCAGCTTGTCCAATCACTCAGTCGTTGATTAGATTGGAGCGGCCGCAACCCTAGTCAGGCACGGGCCACATCACAAATCCAGCCCTCCACTGTCTTTTTCTGTCTTTTATTCTCTGTCAATATTGGGATTCTGCCACAGAGCGAAATTGAAACTTTAACTGTCAGAGAATGTTAATGATGCCATTCTCCATTTCTGCACCCTTCCATCAAACCCCCCCCCCCCTCTACCAAGCGAAGGCGGTGCCCGTCTCCATCTGGAGCCACAGTGAGGAAAGAGAATAAAAATCAAATCAAATCGCAGGTTATTCACTATGAAATTAAATTGGAAAACAGTCACATTGTTTCCAGCCATATTGTTTAATATCAGTGAACGCTCTCTGGGTGCTTCCACATTATATTCCCCATACCAATGTGTTGAAATGGAATTGCTGAGATAAAAGGGGACTGTTGTATCTCATTTAATGATAATGCAGGCAGAGAGAGAGAGAGAGCTTTGACTCTTCAATGTTGGTGCAGTTCATCGCAAAGTAGATTTTGAATAGTGTGCTAATGATTGAATTTATTTTTAGCACCATTATCATTATAATTTTATCAAATTCTGTGTTTGACAAAGTAGAACCATTCAGATTAGATCTCCAGTTCCAGAGACATCTTGCCAACAGTCCAATATCATTAAGACGGTTAGTGTACATGGGTGGTAAGATATGTAAGTTCATCGTCAAATGTAGCACAGATTCATAATTCAGAAGAATTCAATGTCAATAAGTAAATAACTAGCTGGATAGATATAATAAACCGAGTAGATTCATTGATTAGCAGGCTAACAGAAAATGAAAGGACAAGCATTTTGATAATTGATCAGACTTTGAAATTGACTGGGTATAACATGGATATTTGATGTAATGATGCAGGCATGAAATCATTTTGTCTTGGGTTTGCATGTTTCCCTCAGGCGGCAAACTCCGGGTCTGTGAAGTGAAGCCACTCCTCTGGTTGCAAAAAGAAGTCAGATTGTATAGAAGTCTGTGAGAAAATGACTCTACTTCTCTCTTGATTTATTACCTCAGTAAACATTGTAAACATGAGTTTATGGTCTCAATCTCTAGTTTCAAGTCTTCTTCATACAGCATGATGTTCATTTAGTAAATTAGGTCCATTTAGAGTCAAACAGACCATAAAGCAGGGGATGCTTTAGGGCGGGGCTACACAGTGATTAACAGGTCGACAGGTGTTGTCCTGTATGGGTGTTATCTGTGTTTTCATCTTACAACTTTCAAGTTAATTGTAACATCTTATTAGTGTTCAGTACTTTGCTCCACCCTCGTGTCACTTCTGGTTCCAAAATACCAAGATGGCGACGGTCAAAATGCCAAACTCGAGGCTTCAAAACTGAAATTCACAAACCAGTGGGTGACGTCACAGTACTGCTCATATACAGTCGATGATTTTCCTCTTGTAGCATTAGTTGAAAGGTGGAACTAGATGATACAGAATTAATATATAGTATAATATACTGTTTGACACTATGGACTAAGACAATATAAATTTAAATACATGTTAAGCTGCTAGCTAAATGGAAACAAAAGGGGAAAGCTGGATGCTGTGTGGTTAGTTGAATATGAGAATAATTGTTGGTTGCAGCCTTTGAAATGCCTCATAGACACTATTTGGACCTACGGTACTATAATACAAAATAAATAATAAAAATGATCATTGTTCTTAACTTCTTAATCTAAATGAACAGACTGTCTTAGATGGAACCACCTAAGGTCAAGAAAATGAGGTTTCGAGGTCACAAAGGAAACTTTGCATCGCATCGTTTCTTTTCATTAACCGAAATGATGCCGAGCACAAACTTGATGAAAAATAGTCCTGAAGCAGCTTCCCTTATTCTGCCACCAGAATATCAACAGCCTGCAGAGGAAAAACTCATTTCAATTTTGACTTGAGACCACATTTCCTATTTCCCCCGTAAGTTATTAAAGTGGCACCAGGAGGAGGTGTCTGAAGGTCAAGATGAAAAATCGCGGAGAGAGAGAGAGATTGAGCAGGACGGAGGGATGACGGAAAGAGAGGCAGAGGGATATCGACAGAGATCGAGATGGCGAGGAAGAGAAAGAAAATGAGAGGAGAGGGAAAAACAGGAGACGAAGAGAGAGAAAAACAGGAGGAAACGGGGAGAGTCTGAAGGGAATGGACTTCTCTGCTCACTCCTCCACCACTCATCCATGTCCATTTCCCTTTTTAATAGATTTCTAGCATGGCCTGCTTCTCCTCCAGCAAGCCTGTAGCAGCTCAGTAGATTAAAATGATAACCAACAGTAATGAGGTCCTACAGGACTGCGGTTGCATGACTAATCGAAGGGCAAAATGTACAGGAAGGTTCAGGAGCGAGGCTTCAAAGGAAGACGTGACGCTCGGTAATATACAGATTAAGCAGACGAAGGGGGGAGGTTGAATCATGATGACGCGGCATAACCTGCTCACCAGAGAGGAGGGTGTGTTGGTGTATATATATCATCTGAAGTGCCATTTCAAACAGGCTTTCCGCAGCAGTGCATTCATAACAGTGACATGCGCTGCAGAGCCAATTCATTATCAGATCAGTGAATGTGATTCTCGCTGCTTTCATGCCCTCGATGGAAAATACAGAAATGTGAAGCCGTTTGGCGTGCAAGTGAGCATTAGCCATGAACCATTAAGGAAACACAGCTTTTAGTATATTACAAACATGCTGCCTGAATTTGACTCGGGATAAACTGCAGCATGGCAAAAATATCAGTTTTTAGACCACTGTTCAGAAACTGTTGGATACTGAGGGTTAATAATAATCCACCACATATATTTCTAGTAGTTGAAACCTGTCGAAATGGCTCATAATTTAGTCGAGTTGCAACACAATCGGTTATAAAGTTCCCACTAATTCATACCTGACAACTCCCGAAGTACACACGCGTCACCGCCACCCCTATGTTTCCTTTGTAATCTTTTGAAGCAGCAATTACGTCAAAAAATAACTTTTTTTTATTGTCGCTCCTCTAACATCGTGTAATTCACTGGCACCTGCCTCCATTTAGTGACAGGCTGCAGTTAAAAGCCTTCAGCCTGACAGCGGCGTGCTTGCAAGCAGTTTCAGCCACGTGGTCGAGTCACTAAAATACAGTCGTAAACACACGGACATTGTGTTCAGACGGGGCCACATGCAGGGCCAAAGTAGTTTGAGTTTTGGGTGCAGACCGGGTTTATATTCTGGATTTTTGTCTGCTTTGGATCTCCGACTCGGTATTTAAAGTTAGAATATGCATCTAGCCATCCAAGTGGAATAAAATCCACTACAATTCCTCTGCAGTCAGACCTCGTTATCTCTCGCTCCCTTCCTTCCTGCATTGCTCCTTCCAGCTGGACACAAACTGACCAAACCCCTTCAGCTTGGCATTTGTAAAGCAGGCCTACCTTCTTGACGTAGCCCTGGATGAGCTCTGGGGTGGGCACCTGCTCGGCAGACAGACACTCTTCCAGCTGCAGTTTGTACGATGGGCAGACAGACTGGCTCCTTTCCACCCTGCAGGCACCACAGTGGGGGGGGGGGGGAGAGAGAGAGAGAGGACAATGAGTGTTAGCCTCTCAGCCAGCATGCTGGGCAACATCACGCATTATGGCACACGTGTTCACACGAATGCAAACCAACATTCACAAACGAGCTTGATTTTAAAACAAAATTACAGCCATAAAACCTCCTCAAACAGGGTGCTGTTACAGGCCCCGACATCAAATCTATAATACAAGAATATCCCCCCATCAACAAATTACACTGCATCAAGAGGCTTTGTTAATGTCATTATTGCTCTGTGCAGTGCCTTCATCCCTCCCCGCTGAGGCCGTATCTGTGAGCGGGGAGAATCTATTTATACGGTGTTGCATTTTCCTATTCTGTCCTCTGGAGGAAATCCCAGAGCCAGCCCTGAGGAGACTAATGCCCCGGCTTCCACCTCCCTGCTTCTCATCCTGTTGACAAAAGGGAAGAAGCCCCACACGCCCTTTTTCCTCAGCGTGCTACAGAGTCTTTGTCCATATACAGTGTGTGTGTGTGTGTGTGCTCTGCGAGGGCTCTGGCTTTACACGGACACCTGATGTGTGGGAGGGTAAAAAGATGCATGCGTGCATGCTGGGGGAGTGTGTTAGAGCCTCCCTCTGAGTGCACATACATGTCACCGTGTGTTTGTGTGTGTGTGTGTGTGTGGGTGTATGTCACAGTGATTTTTCTGTCAGCCCCCCACCCCCCCCCTCTCCTCCCCATGCAGATTGAGCTGTATCAATTATGAATAACATTTGGGAAATTAGTAGCAAATCAACGGTTTAAATGAATAGTTTTTGGCAAATATGCTTATTTGCTGCCTTGTAATGTCCAAGATGTAGTATAAGGCATCATTTCCCTCTTTACATTTTGATTATTGAATGTATTAAACAAAGAAGTATGTTTTTAAAAACTGAACCCATATAGCATAAAAATGCATGAGACACTTTAAAAATCTGACTAAATAATAAGAAATAATGTTTAAAAAAACATAAAATGACACAACACATAGAAGCCAGACTGAAAATATGGGTTTTTAGTTTCTGTTTAAAAATCTCAATATTTTCAGCTACATTCAGATCCTGGGGGAGGCTGTTCCAACGGCTTGGTGCATAACGGCTGAAAGCGGCGTCAAACAAAATGTTTTTGTTCTCTGTGTGTTGCGCAGAGAGAGAAATGGCCTCACTCTGGAGATGTTCTTCAAATATATAATATAGATAGAGTAAGAGGTGCTTTTTTATTATTATTAATATTATTTTTACCTGTGGGTAGTGCTTGGCGAGCTTTCCCCCCTGTTTTCAGTCTTTCTGCAAAGCTAAGCTAACCAACTGTTGGCTCCAGCGTTTCATACTTAGCATACAGATATGAAAGTCAATCTTCTCATTTAAAAGTTTTAAAAAAACGCAAACTATTTCTACAATCTGATTTTACTGAAAAAACACTGTCATATTTGTCCTATATTTGACCTTTTTATCTTGTTGTTTTCAAAAATACAAATCGAAGTGCCACGCCAGCTGTTTAGTAATGTACTGACATAAAGTGAGGGAGTTTTTAAAAGGAACTGTTAAAATCTGTGACTTTTAGTCCCTCCAGTGGGATGGGTCAAGATCCAACAACATTGGATCCTACACTTCCCATAATGCGACTTAATAGCCTCTTTTTTTCTTTCGGCCCTCCCTGCCTGGTAAAATACAGTTTGTCATAGAGGCTTCCTAGAATGTGTCGTCTCCAAGCGCATGAGATAACTCGTGTAACAAAGCACCTTCCAGAGCCACAGAAGACATTTCACCAGTGTTTCCACAGACTGTATAATACTACTCGTGACTAGTAAATTCACTTTGAGTCTGAGGAGTGTCCCCTGTAAAGTTTTCCAAGGCTGGCAGATTTTTTTCATACACAAAAGATACAAGCCTCTCCTACCATATTGTCAGTGAACCCGATAGTAGAACAAGCTTCTTTATATTCTCCAAGCCTCACCTGCTCTTCTTTTCTACGCTGTCAAAAAAGGAGCCTATGTTTTCCCTTACATGTCCTTATACTGTCTGTATAAATGTTGCTAACCTGAATCTTCACAGGCTTGTTCGAGCAAAAGCACTCTTGTAATTTTCCCACATGTATCAGAGTCACAGTTTGAAAATCACCGCGTTATCCCTCCAAATGCCAGCCTAGACTTCACGGCACAACCAATGGCCCTCGATTATGTCATCTATCCCCCCCCAAAAAAACAACAACAAAAAAAACCAGTCACCACACTTCCACCCCACTGTCACTGACACCCGTCGCTCTGCATCTACATCGCTGTGTCAGCACACAGCGGAGCAGAAAGTGGGCCGAGTGACTCGTTAAGTACAAACTTCACACGCTCTGTGAAACATGCATTACGACGAGCCGAGAGGTGCCTCTCGTTTTCTTCTGCGGCGTCATAGCATCCAAAGGCACCATGGCAGAAGCCTGGTGGCGCTGTCAAGAAAAAAGGTGGATGTATCCCCCCGTGGGTTGCGACGTAGATCACAACCAACCAGCTCAGCGCTCCAGGCGCAACTTCAGGGAACGAAACACAGATGCAGACAGACAGAAGTGTAGTGTAGTTAAGTGCAAACCATTTGCTGTTCTACCTTTCTTACATTCTCAATCATTATACTTGCACTATAGGCCTTGTTTTTGCAGTATTGTACCGAGAAGTCTTCAGGGGCCCCATGCATGCTGCAAGTTAAGAGGCAGCTTGAAGGGATGAAATGAAAAGCCCTCTTATTCATAGTGATACAAATCAATTTTGGAGAGGAAATAAAACATCATTGAGAATTTATCAAGAAAGTAAAAATGATTTAGTGCTTCTGAAATGCATCACGGTGAGAAGGTGTCACTTTTTTTCAAGCGGGTGAATGACTCATTTTCGAACACAGCTCTGAATGGGAAGGGGACTTCTGCAGGCAGAGTGTCAGGGAGGGAGAGAGAGAGAGAGAGAGAGAGAGAGGGAGGGAGAGAGAGAGAGAGAGAGAGAGAGAGAGAGAGAGGTGGGAGAACGACAATTCAAACGGTGCACTCGGTCCTGGAGGGAGGCCTCAGGTTAAAAATAGCAGCCGCATCACCTGCAGTCCATCTTCTCTGTGTGAAACCATGACTTTTTCATGCAGCGTGCAGCGCCGGCTGTCAGACCTCGGAGGTCTCCTGTGGTTAGAAGGGTGTCAAATGCCTGCCTGGCCTCTCGCCCACCTAGCCGGAGCTCCCTTTCTGGGCGAACACACCTGCTAAATCCCCTCCCCCCCCTCTCCCTTGTCTGCCTGCGCAGATGGGTCACGGGCTTTGTTTCGACCACACAACATCTTGTGTTGGGTTAATCACTCCCACCGGAGACGAACATTCACATGGTAACTAATTGCGAATTACCTGTTAATGGCGTGCTGTGGGATTTGTTTTTAGCAGTGTAGTGGCTACATCATTTGTAAATGTGCGGTTTCCAATTACGCGCTGTTCACTGGGGTATGAAAAGGGATTGTGTTGACATATTATTGTTTTTCAGAGGAAGTCAAACTGTAAAAAAAAACCTATCTACAACCAGTTTAGTCTTTGTTTGTTTAAAATGTAAACCGTCTCAGAACAAACCTGCACTAAAGTAGATTTCACCTTCTTTTTGTAATTATCGATTGCCTCCATTTGCGGCAATAAGTGCTAATTTCTTTGGTGTTTCGGGAAAATTGAATTTTCTCTCATTTATTTGTCCGCTAAACCATCGTCGCCTTCACCGCTCATTCCAACTCCCGGGGATTATACTGAGACAAGGATTAGAGTTAGACTCAAGCCACAAAAATAAGGACTTGATTTACTCGAGATCTGAAAGCAAAACATTCTCAGAGTGTGACCTGAACAAATACCAAGACCAAGAGTCTACAGCCACGCTGGCAAGTGTTGTTGTAATGATGCTCAATGTCAGCATCATGGTGGTGTGAGAAGATAAGTAAGTAGGCTGCATCCTCTGGAAGCCAGCTAGTGTAGCTTAAGCGCAATTACAAATGAATGTTGAAATGTTGAAATTGTATTGATCAGTATTGCGAGACCTAAATAACTTTGCAATGGACTTGCAATGTTGTGTGGACGACGCACTCGACTGAAGACCCTGAAGACCCGGCCCACGCTGCTGCACAGACCGCTGTTCGCTTGTTTGTTTAAAGTTTATCAATGTTAAACGTGGCAAAAGGCACCAACTTCCACACTGCATGTTCTAGGTCCCCCAGGCAACATATCCTCCAAGTGTAAAGTATATGTATAGGTGTAGGTTAGTTAGGACGTGACTCAGTGCATTCTATTATGACGGGCTCTATTTACTTACTGACGCTTTTATTTTGAAAGACATGACTGCTCGCCGGGCTCTTCAGAAACCTATGGGTGACATCACGGAGACTATGTCCGTACTTTATAAAGTCTATGGTCACATGATCAAATAGAGACTTGACATTGGAAAACACCAGCATGCATATCACCCAGCAATCATCATTGCATAATCTGTATTTGACAAAACATTCCAAGGAAAATAAGGCTTTGTTTATTTTTTTTAATACTTTCTTTATTGTATTTATAGTTTATGCAAAATCTGTTTATTATAGATTGTTACTGACTGTTTCTGACTCCGCACAAAATGAAACCATGGCAGAGATGGGTTTTTTTTTTAAAGGGAAATAGCAAATGGTACTACAGCTCAATGTGAAATCATTTTTGAACTCGTCAATGTGACTCGCTGACAAGGGGCGGTTTTCCTCCCATCACATTGTCATAGGGCTTGGTCTCTCTATGCGACCCCCTGTCCTCCACCCTGTCCTAACTGCTTTATAGTTAAATACCACTTGTTGGAGATAAAAAGCTTGAGAGGAGTCGAAAGGCAATTACAGTGCAGCAAGAGCTCTTCTCACGCTACCGAAACAAATCATTTTCACACCGAAGTCAGTGAATGTGAAGGAGCAGTGTGAATTCACTTCTTTTTGCAGCAGCAGGAG